TTCGCTGCAACGAACTCCGACTACGGCAACCACAAGTATCCGACTCCAGACTGTCGAGTACCTGAATACAGCCAAGCGAGCCAAACCCTGAGTCGTCGATTGGGAGCGAAGTTGAGACATCGAATTGGACGCCAGTTCAGAACAGGTGGAAGACTCGCACCAATCAAATGCGATGAAGGCGCATGGGTGTCGTGGGAAGACCTGTTAGGTGATAATGCAGTTTGGGAAGACGGTTATCACTACGGCAACGTAGATACCGTGACCAAGAAGGCGCGTTTGGAGAAGTACTTCGACCAGAACTATGAGTGTTTCCGCATAACCAAGAGGATCAGATTCCAAATGTTGGCGGTCCGCGTTCACCCTGACGAACTCAATGACCCTGATGACCCGATGGAGAAGGAATGGATTGACGAACTCAAGGGCATGGGAATCTCTAAAGGAAGACTCCACCATAGCGATGGATGGTGCTTTCCCGTGGCCGTAAGAGCAACCTCAGCACACTCAACGGACGGCGGAGGTTATGACGTTACCATTAACATCGACCACATTGGATCGAGAATGACCAACGACATGGCCCTATCTATGGTGACTGCATTTCACGCTACCAATCTTGGAGCGCTGACTTCAATCATGCGACGGGGGCTAGTGCCAGGAGGTCTCGGTTCATCGGGAAGGGATTCTATCCACTTCACATGTTTTCCGCCATGGGCCTGGGAGCAGGGCTACAAGGGGAAACCTTGGCTGGGTCGTAAGGTCGCATTGAGTGATCGCCCAGTGGTTCTCTACATTCCGGTGTGGAAGCTGCAGGAGTACGGACTTCTCATCTCAGCGACTGGCTCTCTATTGGTTGAGAACGTCGTTCCCTTCGATGAGGTTAAAAGGGCATGGTTGCAATGCGACAATGCGGAACCCGGACAGCCTGAGGAGATCGAATGGATCAGGTTACTCAATAGGGAACCCGATCCTGGAAGCTACCTTGTTCTGGAGTCCAAATACGGAAACCCGATCATGATCCCACGCTTTCAAAAGCTTGAGAGCTTAGCGGTTGAAGTTCAGGACGATACCTACTCCGAGGACGACGCCAAAATCTCAAAACTGTTGGGTATGATCGAGGAGAGTGGTGTATACCCAGAATATGACAGCACCGAGTGGCAGGAAATCTTTGAGGAGATCGTGTACCGCCGGGCAATGAAAGACTATGACTCAAGGCCGTGTCCTAACTGTCTTGGCGAAGTCGATGTGCGGTTGACGATATGTCCGCACTGCGTAGCGGTTTTGATCGCGAATGGGAAACTCACGCATGTGGTACCCAAGGAGACAAGGGACCGCAATCAACGATCGCCTCCGAAAGATGTCCCAGCCAGTTCTTCCGGTGAAGCAACTTCTGCTGCAGGTGCAAACATCGACGAAGTCATCAAGAATGCACGTAAGACAGCCGAAGAGGTCATTGAGGTCGAGGAATCCGAAGGAGAGGAAGAGGAGGAAGTTCCTATCATTTTGAAGGAACGACCGGACGAAGCTGAAGGCGAACCCGAATATCGGGAGGTCCCTCAAGATGGATACGGGAATGAACTTCCGCAGCCTTTCCCCTTCGCAACCGACGAATTGCCACAAGAAGCTGCGATCCCCATCGACCACAACTTTGCAGTCACACAGCAATTTGATCTGAGGTTGATGAAGTTGATCAAGAGCTTGGCCAACGCGACGTTCGACATCAACTGCTTTGAGAGTCGTGAAGACGTACTGCGAAAGTTCGACGATGGACAGCGGCATGACACTCCATACAATAGATGGCCAATAGTACCGAATGATCCGGATACTGGGTTTCCAAGACGTCTCCAGAGAGCCGAGGTCGTAGGCATGAGCAAATGGACCAACGACGTGTATGCAACAGAAGCGTGGCAGATCTATGAGTTCCACGCCCACGTTGTTCACCCGATGATGATCACTGCAATCCGCTGCGGGCTTAGCCATAAGTATCTCAAAGAGGTCGGCAGCACTCGGCGTAACATGAGTGATCCAAAGGCTCGAAGGTCTGAGACCCAGGAAGAGATCATCGAGAAACTGGCATTCATCTCAAATTTCATCAGACGCTTGATCAGGAAGACCTTCGGAGCGAGCCGATATAGCTACTACCAGAAACCAGACGACGAAAGTGCCGCTCCATACAAATTCATTGACATTAGCCCCGCCATCAAATCGGAGCGAAAGAATGTCACGAAGGAGATCCTCGTTGCATGCCGCTACTATGGCATAGAGGTATCCGATATCCAAGCACAGAAATTGAAGTTCTTCGAGGAGCAGATCCGAGCGGGAAATCCGAGGAACGTTGAGCTCATCAAGGACTACATTGGCTTTGTCGGCGCTGACTACATGCGACAACTCACGAATGGTTGAGCATTGGGGTCATACCGACATGCCACTTCTGGTACTTCGTGTACTGAGGGATCTTGGGTAATTCATGGTGACCGTTTTGGCATCATGGGAGTGAGATAGGATTGTGTTTCACACCGCTGGTAATCACATGATACCATAGGTAGGTGCACGTTTTCCGCTTGTAGCTCCATTACCTGTTTGATCCAACTTTCAAGCGAATGCAAAATCGTTTGCTAATTCAGTTCAATAGGACATACTGGTTGACCTCCAATACACTTTTGAGAGCGTGATTCGCTCTCCGGTTTTTTTGTTTACATCCACTCATCTCCCTTCTCCGTCGAAGTACGGATGTGGGGGGTGTCAATAGGGATGAGGTCCCAGTATAGTTGCTATATAGGTACATGCCATATACTTTTGGCTCAAGTGCCCAACCAGGTAAAAAGGAGCTTTAGCGCGCGAGCTTCATGTTGAACTAAGGGCTAGAACGGGGCCAGGGCACACCTTTCCATCCGTTCGCAAAATTCTTATTGTTACTAGTAAGGCACTTGTTCCTAGGAGCTTCTTGTTACTACTAATAAGGCACCTGTTACTACTAGCGTGGCACTTGTTACTAGTAGTAACAAAAGGGACTGGTTTGCCATTTTGATTAATTTGGGATTCGCCTACGCTGCTTTGTCAGCGCACGGCGTTGGCTTCACATAGCACAGGTCCACGAAGCTTCCCCACGACGGGTTGTGTTTCTATCGGATTCTATCGAGCAGGAACGACGTGAGGCAGTTTTTGTGTATCATTGATCCGACACAGCGCACCGCGCAGCGGCGAACGGTGCCAAACCTGTCAGCGCTTTAAAGACCAAAGTCCCTCTCTTGAAATTGCCCTTGGCGCGGGAAGTCCGATACAAAACCTACAGGCCATCGCTCGTTGCGTGGAGGCCATCGCTACTAGTAACAAGAAGCTACTAGGAACAAGTGCATCGCTTCTAGTAACAAGTGCCTTACTAGTAGTAACAATAAGCTATTAGCTTCTTGTTATTACTAGCGTGGCACTTGTTACTAGTAGTAACAAGAAGCTACTAGGAGCTCCTGGCATCGCTAGTAGGAGCAAGGACGCTACTAGGGGCTCCTGGCCGTACTACTAGGAGCAAGAAGCTACTAGGAGCTCCTGGCCCTACTACTAGGAACAAGAAGC